ACCGACCTATTCCGGCCCCCGGTCCCCCGGGAACGCCGGGCCGGCTGGCCCCAGGTGCTGGCCCGCGAGGACGCCGCTCCCGGGGCCGCTCGAGTGCGGCCAAGGGGCCTCCGTGCACCCGGCTTAGGCTAGCAATTGCCTTTAATCCCGGTCAGGCTCCAGGGACACGAAAAGAATTAAATCGCGTGCTGAAGTGGTAAAATTAGGAATTATACAGGAGGGGGGAAAAAAAATACAGAAAATCCCTGCTGCAATCCCGCGCGGGATGGCTAACGGGAGGGACGGAGATTAACACTGGGCACGTTGGTTTTTCATTGCTGCTGCTGGACGAGCTTGGGCTGGGAGGACTTTTCAAATTTAAGGGCTCTCCAAAACAGCTGTCTTCAGGTCTGGGCTAAATTACGCCGCCACAGGCTGTCGTTCTATCATAAAAGGAGCAGGTAATTGCAGCATTTTTGAACGATTGCCCAGATTAAGTTCGACGAAGAAGAAGCCTCTGTGAGCGGTCGTGGGCGCGCGGAGGGAGCCGGGAGTGCGATGCTTGGATTTCTTCGCGGGGCCGGCAATGCCCGGGGAAGGAGCCGGCGCTCGGCCAGGCTCGGTGCAAAACGCTCGGGAGCCCAGACCCGCCGAAACGCCCGAACCGATCTGTAGCCGGAGCCTCGCAAGAAGCAGAAATTCCTTCCCGATGACACGCGAGCGGGCGCGTTTTGGGGAGGTGCTGGCTGATGAGTCCAGGAGAGGGGGAAGTGTTTCAGCATCCCTCGATTTTTATTTTTTTATTATTATTATTTTGTTCCCCAGGTCAACCGGGGTGCCTTTTGCAGCTGCCGGGACCGCTGGAGCGTCCTGCGGCGCTGTTTCACGCTCGCTGGGAACCAGAAGGTGTTTCGAAAAGGCAAAAGAGCCTCCTCATCCCTGGGCTGCTGGTGCGTTTTGCAAAAATGCTGGTGGTGCATTTGGCAAAGCAGATTTGCAGCTAATCACTTTTGCCATTTTGGGAGGAGAAAAAACAAAGAAAGAGAGAAAGAAAGAAAAGGAGCGATACTTTGTGCTCCAAATGGCCCGCGTTTTTACAGCAGGGTGAACTGGGCTCCCAGAGGGCCTGGCTCTCCGCAGCACTTATTTAAGGAGAGAGGCAGGTTTTCCGCTGCTCGCCTCTGTGCTCGTCCCTGCTCGGCGGGGAGGGCAGCGGCGTTTTCCAGCTTTAGCAATAATGATTTCTTTGCTTTGCAGTTTTGGTGCCTCTTCAAACCCAGGATGAGCAACCGCATTGCAACCGCTTTAAATCTGGACGGCGGCGTCAACACCCCCCTCACCCAGTGCCTGCCGGTACGTACTGCCCCTCAGGCAACGTCCAGGCCCCTTTTTCCTGTTTTTTTCCTGTCCCTTTTTTGAGTAACGGAAAGGCCAGCTAGGACCCGGAGAGCCGTTCCCGCGGCGTCCCCAGGCAGCTCCGGGGAGAGACGCTCCTTGTCCCCGCGCCAAACCTCACGCTTTTGCGGTGGCTCTGCGGGGTTTCTTCCCCCCGCCTTTTTTTTTTTACTTTTTTCTTTTCTTTTTTTTTCTTTTCAGGGTTGCAAAATACTTCCACTGAAAACCACGCAGGAGAACCCAACCTCAACAAAGCCATTAAAATGCGGCCGCCTAGGTCCCCCGGCAGCGCCAGCGGCGGGATTTCCCGCGGGACGGGCGCCTCGTGCCGTGATTTAGGGCTCGGGCAGCTCTCGCTGAGCCGAGCAGGGCACGGATCCCGCGCGTGTGCTGCACTTCTGCGAAACAGCTGCTGGCTTCCCCTTTATCTCTCTCCAAACAGATTAGCTTAAA